AGAGCGTCGGCCTGCGGACTGAAGGTCCCAGGTTCGATTCCGGTCAAGGGCATGTACCTTGGTTGCGGGCTCATCCCCAGTAGGGGTGTGCAGGAGGCAGCTGATCGATGTTTCTGGCTCTCTATCCCTCTCCCTTCCTCTCGGTAAAAAATCAGTAAAATATATTTAAAAAAAAAAAGATTTGAAGCAGTTTTGCAATTGATAAGGGTAGGAAAATAGAACTTAATACTAAAGATAAAAATAGGAGAAACAATTGCTGTAGCTATGAGGATAAAGATAATTTCTGAGCTTCCTAGTAGACCAGGCAAAAAAGGAAATGGCATATATATATGTATATAGAAGGGAGAGGGATAGAGAGTTGGAAACATCGATGAGAGAGAAACATTGATCAGCTGCTTCCTGCACATCCCCCACTGGGGATGTGCCTGCAACCAAGGTACATGCCCTTGACCAGAATCAAACCCGGGACCCTTCAGTCCGCAGGCCGACGCTCTATCCACTGATCCAAACTGGTTAGAGCATACACTTATATATTATTGTTAGATATAAAGACAAAATTCTAGTCCTTTTGTTTTTAAATTTTACTTAATTGATATTAGAGAGCGGAAGGGAGAGAGCAAGAGAGAAACATGGATTTGTTCCACCTGTTTGTGCATTTATAGTATTGGTTGCCCCTTGTGTGTGCCCTGCCTGGGATGGAACCCTTAGCCTTGGCATGTGGGCATGATGCTCTAACCAACGGAGCTCCCCGGCCAGGGCCTCTCGTCCTTTCAGGGAGTCCTTTTTCTGGCCATGAGTCCAACGGAAGCTCCTCAGATGCGGCATGGAGAGCAGGGTTCTCAGCTCTGCTTCTGCCACTGTTCATAGGCTGACAGGCTCCCGCCATGAAGGCCTCAGCGGCAGCAGAAATGAACCATTGCTGGTCCCAGTGGGGTGTGGCCCCTTCCCCCTCTGACTGGGGGGCCTCAGGGCCTGGGGGAAGGCTGAGGTGCAGGGTGCTAAGCGTAATGGTAATGGTCAATCCTGAACAGTGTGAAAGGACAGCTTAAAAAATTTTTAAATATGTTTTTATTGATTTGAGAGAGAGGGAGGGAAACATAAACATTGATCAGCTGCCTGCCCCTCTGGGGATCACGTCTACAACCAGGGCATGTGTCTGGACCAGGGATTGAACCAGCGGCTTCTTGGTGCAGGAGTCGGCACTCAACCACTGAGCGCACCGGCCAGACCACAGGGCAGTCCTACAGCCCCCCCTGACGGAAGTGGAGAGAGGGATGCAAAAGGCCAGTCCCCAGGGGCACTGGTTCTTGGGAGGGTGGGCTGCCCCAGCCCTAGCGATCCAAGGTCAGAGGCAGAGACCTTGGAGAGGTGCTCTCTCTGGACCGCGTGCGCAGTTCTGTGCAGGCCTCTACCCGACAGAACCCCGTCCTGGGGGCGGGGCCCAGGACTCTGCATTCGGGAAGCCTCCCAGGTGAATCTGATGTCTTGCTGGGTGGAGAAGCTCTGCTCCCCAAGATGTTTTTTTTTTCAAATAAGCCTCTTAGCTTGGTTCTGCGTAGAAACACTTTCGAGGCTGTGCTGATGGTCTCTGCCGTTAGCCGAAGGGAGACGTCTGAGCTGGGAAGGTGTGCAGGTGAGGTGTCTGACTCTACAGGCTTAAGGAGGGTTCTCCGAGAAGGGGTGAAATTACCTAGTTTTGCATGCATTTAAAAAAATATTTTTTCATTTCAGAGAGGAAGGGAGAGGGAGAGAGAGGTAGAAACATCAATGATGAGAGAGAATCATTGGCCAGCTGCCTCCTGCACACCCCGCACTGGGGATGGAGCATGTGCCCTGACCGGTAATTGAACTGTGACCTCCTGGTTCATAGATTGATGCTCAACCACTGAGCCACACTGGCCGGGCACGTGCAGTATTTTTTAGATTACAAAAGTAATACATGTACCTTACCGACATTCAAGTAAATGTGGGAATACATATGACTAGAAATAAAAAGCTCCCTCCCCATCTCATTCCACATAGTTCAGAGGGAAGCGCGCCAGCAGTTTGGGATGTGGTCCTCCAGATCCGTGACGCTCTTCCTGCTGGTTACGGAGACCATGTGTGAATGGACAGGCGCATCGAGGCTCCAGTTCTGACCCCTCCATGCCCCTCTATTGGTCTCAGCAAACACCTGTTTGGATCTTCCTTGGGGTCAGGAAGAGTTTAAAATGCTGGGAATGCAACGTGCCTGCCCTCAGGGAACGTGGGGCCCATGGGGGGGCGGGGGGACAACAGACAGTGTTGATAAGTTAAGATGATGATGATGCTGTTAAGCAAAGAACATGATGCTGGGTGTGTGTCCTTGCTAGTTTAGACAGGGTGCTCACAGACGCCTCCTCTTGGAGGAACGTTTGAGTTGAGACTTGAATGGTGAGGAAACCTGGTGGGCTTGCTGGGCAGAAAGAGGAACCGCGAGGCAGGAAGAAGTTTGGATTGTCCGAGGAGAGAGGACGAGGGTGCGGCAGGATGGGGGAAGGGAGGTAAGGAGGTAAATAGCTGGATCAGGGAAGTAAGCAAGGCCTGAGGACTGTCTATGGATTTTTAAAATAGTGCCATAGGCCTGGCTGGTGTGGCCCAGTGGTTATGCACTGACCCATGAACCAGGAGGTCACGGTTCGATTCCCAGTCAAGGCACATGCCCGGGTTGTGGGCTCGTTCCCCAGTGGGGGGTGTGCAGCAGGCAGCCGATCAATGATTCTCTCTCATCATTGATGTTTCTCTCTCTCCCTCTCCCTTCTTCTCTGAAATCAATAAACAATAAAAAATAAAATAGCCCTAACTGGTTTGGCTCAGTGGATAGAGCATTGGCCTACGGACTGAAGGGTCCCGGGTTCGATTCCGGTCAAGGGCATGTACCTTGGTTGCGGGCACATCCCCAGGAGGCGGTGTGCAAGAGGCAGCTGATCGATGTTTCTCTCTCATCGATGTTTCTAACTCTCTATCCCTCTCCCTTCCTCTCTGTAAAAAATCAATAAAATATTAAAATAAATAAAAATAAAAAATAAAATAAAATGGTGCCATAGGAAGTCCTGTTGGAGCTGTAAGCAGGGAGCAACTGCGTCGGCCTCCAGGCTGGTGGAGAAGGTCCGGCCGGGGCAGCAGAGCCGGTCCCGAGGTGGCTGTGGGGTGGGATGAGGTGCGGCGTCGCTGTGGATGCCCCACTTCATTCCGGCCTCATTTTCCCCAGCTGTGAAATGGGAGTAATAACTACCCTCCTCCCAGGACTCCTGAGAGGAATGAAGGGGATAATCCGTGTAGCCTTAGGCACCCTTCCTGGCGCACTTAGGAAACGGTAATCATAATTTTTTAAAAAAATTCTCACCCAAGGATATTTTTTCCAGTGATTTTTAGAGAAAGTGGAAGGAAGGGAGGGAGGGAGGGAGAAACCTCGACATGAGAGAGACGCAGCAATTGGTTGCCTCCCCCACACACTGCGACTGGGGAACCTGCAGCCCAGGATGTGCCCTTGGCCAGGAATGGAACCCCAGACCCCAAGGCTCTAATCACCACGTGAAACCGGTCAGGGCCAACACGGAATCATTACTGCCACTGGCTTCATGTTCTAGTCGCAGTTACCGGGTAAACTTGAAAGTCAAAAAAACCCTGGAAACATTTGGAGTTTTAAATTTTTCTAAAAGTCGAGTAGGAAAGAGGAGCAGAGAGGGCCCTGGGTCACAGAACCCTGGCCGCCCCAGGACTGAAAAGAGGGGGGTGCCTGGGATGGAGGCAGTGGAGGAGGAGAGGGGAGGGGAGGGGAGAGCAGCAGGGGGAGGGACCTGCGGCCGGGCCCCAGGCACTGCAGGCTGAGGGAGCGGTTGTTGAAGCCCTGGGGTGGGTTGTTCCGGCTCCCTCTCTTCCTGCAGCCCTGGGGCCCCCTCTCCCCTTGCTGCTAGTCCTGGCCCTGAGGCTCCAGCCCCAGGTACCTCCTCTAGCATCTCCTGCTTCAGTGCCACCCACACCCTCTCCTAGATTTGGGGAACCACAGGTCACCCTCTGTGGGAAGCCAGCACTATCAGCTTAGAGATCTGACTTCACCACTATCCTGCCTGCAACTCTTTATGGGCCCTGTAGTATGTAGTTAATCTTTAAAAAAAAAATTATATATATATATTTATTTATTGATTCCAGAGAGAAAAGAAGAGGGAGAGACAGAAACATCAATGATGAGAAAGAATCATTGATCAGCTGCCTCCTGCAACGCCCCCTACTGGGGATCAAGCCCGCAACCCAGGTGGGAATTGAACCCAGGACCCTTCAGCCCTCAGGCTGAAGCTCTACCCACTGAGCCAAACCAGCTAGGGCGAGGCATATATTCTTAAAGGAATAAATGTAAAGGGTGGATGAATTCTCAGAGTGCACAGGTAGATATACCACCATCGTGGCATAGTTTTGTTTTTAGTAACTTTTTCGTTTCTGAGGATTATCTCTAGTATTTTATTTTATTTTTTAAAAAAAATATTTTTATTTCAGAGAAGAAGGGAGAGGAAGAGAGATAGAAACATCAATGACGAGAGAGAATCATTGATTGGCTGCCTCCTACATGCCCCACACTGGGGATCTAGCCTGCAACCCAGGCATGTGGCCTGACCTGGAATCGAACTGTGACCTCCTGGTTCGTAGGTCGACGCTCAACCACTGAGCCGTCTCTGAGACCTCAGGGCCCTGCGGAGACTGCACAAGGTCCTGGGGTCAGGCTGCCCCAACTCCATGCCCCTGTGCAGCCTCCTCGCAGTGTGAACCTGGGTTAGCTCTTACCTCTCAGGGTCTGCGTTTCCTCATCCTGGATGTGCTCTGGGGAGGAGAGGAGTTCATGAACCAAGAGCCCGGGCACACAGCAGGGGTCAGCGGAGGTTTGTGGGCACCAATCTCTGGTGAGGTGGGGAAGCCTGCTCTCCTGCCTCTCCCCACATCTCATCCCCCCACCCCCCTCCCGCCCATGCTGCTGGGCAACTTGACTCTCCAGGAGACCGAAGCCCCTCAGCCTGAGCTGGGGAGTCTGGAGGCAGAGCCCCCAAGGAAGCTGGGGCCTAGGCTCAGATGCCAGGTCACAGGCCCAGGTTGGGCAAGAACAAAGAATGCACGGCCCTCTGATCCCGTTGGAGACACCAACAATTCCAGGAATTCAGAGGCAGGCGTGACAGGGTGAGGGACAGAGGGGAACCCTGAAGCTGTACCCAGGCCCTCCAGGCTCCCCTCCCAGACCATGCAAGCGAGGTGACCAGCCTGTGGAGGTGAGGGGGACAGACCTGGAGACTCCCCTCCCCGGGAAGGAAAGCAGAGGCAACCCATCCCCCTGCTTCCACCCCCACACATCCCCCGGTTCCAAATCCACTTCCACCTCTGTTTAAGTCCAAAGTCCCTGGCACTGGAGATGCCAGGTTCGGCACACTAGGGACACAGACAAGCAGCCACGCGTAAGCACAGGGCTCAGGGCCCTTGTATGGACCCTCTCCCACTGTCCGGGGCTGTCTGCACACCCCCGTTCTCCAGGCTTCAGCTTCCTTCTTAGCCTGGGATCTGCACAGCATCGAGGGATCCAGGAGTCACCCTCGAGACCACCAGCAAGTAAAAGGGGAAGAGAGGCAGGAGGACTGACTGGGGCGGGCTGGGGGAGGGGGGAGGGGACCAGCTGTCCGGGGCGAGGGGCTGGGTGGGAACACTCAGGGGAGACAGGCCTGGGATGGAATGAGGGAAAGAAGGAAGGTCTGCACGTCGCCACGGGCCACTTAGAAAGGGAAAGACGCCATACCCCAGCTTGGTTCAGTCCCAATCTCAACCCTCACTTCAGCCTTGACTTAGTCCGGGGTCCAGCCAGCCCCACCATGACCAAGGAGTATCAGGATCTTCAGCACCTGGACAACGAGGAGAATGACCATCAGGTCAGACGAGGTGAGGGACGCCGCTGTTTCGGAAGGGCGAGCTTTAGGCTCCGGCTTCTTTCTATGCCCCTGCCTCTGCCTCTGGTCCCCCCCTGTCGCTAGAACATAGCTGCCCTCTAAGGGGAGGTGGGGGTGTGGGGCTGGAGCTCTGTCTTGGGGAGGGTACCCTTGACCCTTGCCATGCCACACACTTCTCAGGGCCTTGGGGAGGGGGTGGGCCCATGAGTGTGGCGGTAATGAAGTTAGGCCCCTCCTCCTTTCCTCTTTCAACACCAGTGAGCTGTGTGTGTGTGTGTGTGTGTGTGTGTGTGTGTGTGTGTGTGTGTGTGTGTGATCAGTTTGGTCAGGGGATAAGAGTTCTGTGAAGAGGCTGAGGGGTCTCTGATCTGAGGGAGGATGAGGCCCTCCTACATAAAAAACAGTCCCCGCGCCCTGGTCAGTGTGGCTGTCGGAGCACCACGGTCACAGGTTCGAGTCCCCTCAGGGCACATAGCTAGGTTGCAGGTTGGATCCCCAGTCGGGGTACATATAGGAGGCAACTGATTGATGTTTCTCTGTCACATTGATTCCCCCCCTCTCTATCTAAAAATCATCATCAACAACAATAATAAAAAGACCCCCATTTTTTCTCCCGTGAGCAGGAACGCCGTTGGGGCTGAGCGAGGGTCCAGCTCCTGGGGGGTGGGAGTGGGCAGTGCCTTTGATGGGAAAGGGGATAAGGGGGCGAGAATGGAGGGGAGGCCTCCCACACTCCAGCTCACTGGAGCAGGGCTGCCTGGTGGAGCAACTTGAGGGACCTGAAGTCTGGCTACCCCACCTTCTCCTCCTGCCCCAGCCTGCCCCCAGCCAGAGCGGTGGGACTCCTGGAGGGAGGAAGAAACCTCTGCCTCTGGCCCCACCTTCAGGGAGGAGCCCTGGTTCCCCAGCTGGTCTCCAGCTCACAAACTCCATCCTCACGGCTCCGAAGAGGCTCACCAGCTGCACTGACACAGTCGGGCCACTAGGTGTCAGCCAAAGCCCAGGGCCAGGCCGGGCTCGCGCAGGTCAAAGCTTTGCTTCCATCTGCAGCCCTCTTCCCTTCCCACCTCCAGAGGCCTCTGGCCTCTCAGTCACCCACTGCCCATATTTCTTCTTCTTCTTTTTTTTTTTAAAAAATCCTCACCTGAGAACATGCTTTTATTTACTTATTAAAATACATTTTTATTGATTTCAGATAGGAAGGGAGAGGGAGAGCGAGATAGAAACATCAACGATGAGAGAATCATTGATGAATCATTGATCAGCTGCCTCCTGCACACCCCCACTGGGGATGGAGGTCACAACCTGGGCATGTGCCTTAACTGGGTATTGAACTGTGACCTCCTGGTTCATAGGTCAATCGATGCTCAACCACCGAGCCACGCAGCAGGCACTTTCGTTGATTTTAGAGAGAGAGGAAGGGAGAGGGAGAGAGAGAAACATAAATGCATGTGCCCGAACCAGCTACCTGGGTATGTGCCCTGACAGAATTGAACCCTGACCTTGTGGTGTACGGGAGGATGCTCCAGCCAACGGAGCCACTCTGGCTGGGACACGCTCATGCTTCTTAATCTATGTGATTCCTCCGAGCCTACGAGAGGAGCCTTAGCCTGCTCTCCTCCGGGGACCCCAGCGCTGCCCCGGACTCTGCCGCCACCCTGAGACCCTCTCCTCTTGCAGGGCCGCCTCCTCCCCGACCACTCTTCCAACGGCTCTGCTCCGGCCCCCGCCTCCTCCTGCTCTCCCTGGGCCTCAGCCTCCTGCTGCTGGTGGTTGTCTGTGTGATCGGATCCCAGAGTGGGTGCCCCAGGGGCGGGCGGGGAAGGGAGCAATGTTGGGGGAGGTGATGGGAGCAGTAGTGGCGGGGGGAGTGCTGGTAGCCATGATGGTGGGCACAGCCCTCTCTTTTTGTCTAACGCTCACCTTCTCCTGTCCAGACTCCACGCTGAAGGAGGAGCTGCGGGCCCTGAGAGAGACGTTCAGCAACTTCACCGTGAGCACAGAGGCCGAGGTCAAGGACCTGCGCAACCAGGGTGAGGGGGCTGGGGCTGAGGCTGTGGGCGGCTGTGGGACGCTAGGGGTGTTGGGACATTGAGCAAGTTTCTCCCCCAGGAGGAGGTGTGGGCAGGAAGATGAAGTCCTTGGAGTCCCAACTGGAGAAACAGCAGCAGGAGCTGAGTCAAGGTGGGAGGGGGAGCCCGTGTGCTGGGGCCACGTGTGGAACACAGGGCGTCTCTCAGGCCGAACCAAGGGGTCTTTCTTTCTTTCTTCTTCTTCTTCTTCTTCTTCTTCTTCTTCTTCTTCTTCTTCTTCTTCTTCTTCTTCTTCTTCTTCTTTTTAAATTAAATGTATTTTTATCGCCCTGACCGGTTTGGCTCAGTGGATAGAGCGTCGGCCTGCGGACTCAAGGGTCCCGGGTTAGATTCCAGTCAAGGGCATGTACCTTGGTTGCGGGCTCATCCCCAGTAGGGGGTGTGCAGGAGGCAGCTGATCGATGTTTCTCTCTCAACGATGTTTCTAACTCTCTATCCCTCTCCCTTCCTCTCTGTAATAAATCAATAAAATATATTTAAAAGAATGTATTTTTATTGATTTCAGAGAGGAAGGGAGAGGGAGAGAGATAGAAACATCAATGACGAGAATCATTGATTGGCTGCCTCCTGCACACCCCCTACTGGCTGGGGAATCAAAGTGTGACCTCTTGGTTCATAGGTCAACACTCAACCACTGAGCCACACCGGCTGGGCCAAACCAAGGAGTCTTGACAACAAATTCCCCTCCCCTCCGCCCTGCAAGTCTCAAATGTTTTATTGACAGAAACTTTCTCTCTCCATCAAACCAAGGGGTCCTGTGGCAGGGGCACCTGGGACTGACCTTCCGTCCTGCACACGGGATTTACACTGACCTCTTTCCCTCCTCACTCTCCCCCCTCCCCCCGCCCTCTGTCCCCCCAGATCACTCCAGCTTGCTGCTCCATGTGAAGACCTTTGTGTCTGACATACGAAGCCTGAGCTGCCAGCTGGCCATCCTCCAGGGCAATGGTGAGGAGTCAGGGATGCCCAGCCTTGCTTTCATGCCTACTTCCCCTCCTGGCAGCAGCTCAGCCTCTCACCCTCCCTCTGCACTCCCCCCCTCCCCCCAGGCTCTGAGAAGAACTGCTGCCCTGTTAACTGGGTGGAGCATGAAGGCAGCTGCTATTGGTTCTCTCGGACTGCGAAGCCCTGGCCGGAGGCTGAGAAGTACTGCCAGCTGGAGAACGGGCACCTGGTGGTGGTCGGCTCCTGGGAGGAGCAGGTGAGGGCTCCGGAGGGCTCCTCGGGGAGTCAGTCTGTTCTCCGGAGAGGCCACCATCCTCCTCTCTCCCCAGAGATTTGTCCAGCACCACATGGGTCCTGTGAACACCTGGATGGGGCTCACTGACCAAGATGGGCCCTGGAGATGGATAGACGGGTCGGACTACGAGAAGGGCTTCCAGTGAGTGTGTGTGCTGTGCGCTCTGCACTGGCCTCCACTATAACCCCTCCCCTGCGCCCTGCTGTCCCAGCTTGGCGGGTCCAAGGGCAAGAGGGGCTCCTCGGCTTGGCTGAGGGTCTGGCCTCCTGGGGCCCAATCTGTCTGGTCTTCTTAGGAACTGGAGGCCAGATCAGCCGGACGACTGGACCGGGCACGGGCTTGGGGGAGGCGAGGACTGTGCCCACCTCACAGATGATGGCCGCTGGAATGACGACGTCTGCCGGAGGCCCTACCGCTGGGTCTGCGAGGCAGAGCTGGGCAGGCCCACCCAGGAGCCTCTGCTCCCCTAATTTATTTCCTCGATGCCTTCACCTGTTGAAGGCTCCTCACTTTGGGATCCTCCTACCTGGGGCCTCCTGCACATTCTTGGGGCTTTTCATCTGGGCTGTAGGGGAGGGGAGAGGATGGCGGCCGAGGGCTGCAGAGGATGTTCGGAAGGGCGGGGGATTGAGAGCTATGCCACTCTCTACGGTTTGCAAGTTATTGTCAACTTTTTTTTTTTGAGTAAAAAGAGAAATATACGAAACAGTCTGAGTTGACTAATTATGAGGGATTAACAGTGGGGAATGGGCTTGGCCAGTGTGGCTCAGTGGTTGAGTGTCGACCTATGAACCAGTAGGTCAGGGCTCGAATCCCGTGCAGGAGGCAGCCGATCAATGATTCTCTCTCATCATTGATGTTCCTACCTCTCTATTCCTCACCCTTCCTCTCTCTCTAAAGAAAATCAATAAACAAAGAAAAGAAAAAAAGAAAAGAATGGGGAATGGACGTTGGCACGGGGAAGCCTTGGGCAGGTAATGGGTTAGCGTGGGAACGGTATGGCTTTGGGCCGGAGGGAGGGATTCGCTGTTTACAGGCGTGTGATTTAGGGCAAGTTACTCTGCTCTCCGAGTCTCAGCTGGAACACGGTGTTGTGCTGGGACCATCCTTCCAGCAACACGCCCCCCCCCCTCCTGCCCCCCAGTGTTAGGTAGGAGAGAGCCCAGGATGGATACATGCAGACGCGTGATGAGATAATGGACTTCCCCTGGAATTTCTCACAGATCAACGTGCCAGACACAGATACCGGCTTCTTCTCCCTGAATCCACATACCCCCCACACAGAACGGACTCCTTCCTGAATACCTGGCTGACCCCCTGCAGCTGAAACTTCCTCCGCCGAATACCTCAGCTCATGTCCCCGCCCCTCACCCAACCGCAGTATAAAAAAGCGCCCCCCTCCCTGTTGGCGTGAGTCCACGTGCCCTGTCTTTGGGGTACGTGGGTCTCCCGGGACGCAGAAATAAACCTTTTCCTTTTCTTTCTTTTTCTGATTCACTGGACTGTCTTTATTTCCTATGCCGCCTCCTGGGCCACCTAACCTAACAGCCAGCAGGGCCGCCCTTGTGTCAGGCGCTTCTGAGCCTCCAGCTGAAGCTCCTCGGCCTCTGTTCGAGCATCACAGTGGAGAGAAGCAGCGGCCACAGGCGCAAGTGCAGGGACCCAAAGCGGAGCCCCAACCAAGAGCACCACGCTCAGGAGAGCCAGCGCCACGGAAGGGCAGACCCCAGAGAAGTGGGATCCACAACCCAGGACAGGGGTCAACAGGACAGACAGACCAAGACTCTACAGACACGTCCGGGTTTGTCAGCAAACATGCACCATTAGCCACAAACAAGCCCCCAGCTAATTCTAAAAAGGACTCCAATAAAACAGTTAGACCTGAAAACAAGTAGAACCAAAAAGGACTGTCACATCTGCCTTTCTCACCAGCTTTCTAGATAAACTTTAAGAGAAAATCAAAGTAGACGCAAGCGAATTAGAAATGGACAAGGACAGCACTACACACTGGGGTGTGGGTGGTCTAACGCAGCGCCCAGGAGGAGCTGTGCAGAGCCTTCAACACATTTATTAAAAAAATTAAGAAAGGGTGAGTTGAAAAAAGCTGTTTTAACTCGAGAAACTTAAAAAACACACACAAAATAAACCCCCAAAATAGAAGAAAGGGGCCTTTTTTTAAAAAGCAAAACCTAATAAAGTAGGATATAAAAATGTAGATATGACCTACAAAATTAAAATCTGATTCTTGGAGAATAAAATAACATGAAGGGGCCCTGGCCAGTCTGGCTCAGTGGGTACAGCGCTGGCCCTGGGATGAAGGGTCCTGGGTCGGATTCCGGTCCCGTGTACCTACTTGGTTGCAGGCTGCATCCCTGGACCTGGTCAGGGTGTGTGTGGGGCAACCAATTGATATGTCTCTCTCACATGGATGTTTCTCTGTGTCTCTCTCCCCCTCTCTCTTAAAAAATCAATGGAGCCCTGACCGGTCTGGCTCAGCGGATAGAGCGTCGGCCTGCGGACTGAAGGGTCCCAGGTTCGAGTCCGGTCAAGGGCATGTACCTTGGTTGCGGGCACATCCCCAGTAGGGGGTGTTCAGGAGGCAGCTGTTCGATGTTTCTCTCTCATCGATGTTTCTAACTCTCTATCCCTCTCCCTTCCTCTCTGTAAAAAGTCAGTAAAATATATTTAAAAAAAAAAAAAGAGCGCTAACGATACCGGTGAACTACCGCCTGCATTGTGCTCCTGTGGTTGAGCGCACCCTTATGAAAGGCGTCCCATTCCAACCAATAGGACTGAGGCTTTCCTCACCCAATCAGCTGTGCACTTCTGACCAATCAGAGCGGCTCTATTCTGACCAATCAGGATAGAGCGTTGGACGATTCAAACGCACAGAATCAAGGAACACCAATCAGGGACTAAGGGCGGGGACTTCTAGCTGAGCCCGTCCCGCTCTGGCGCGGAGAACGCATTTTCAACGGAAAAGTGGGGAGTCCGTTACCCGGCGGGAGCGGTTGGCTCAGACCCTGGCGAGGTCGCCCCGGGGGAAGCGGGCAGACGGGCGCGGAGCGGGGCAGGTCGGAGCGGACGGCCTCGCCGGGAGGGTCCTGGCTGCAGGTCCTTCTCCCACGTGCCCTGAAGGGACTCACACGTCCGCCTCCAGAGCAGGTAGCGAGTTCGCACCCACCGGGAAGTTACCGTAGCTCAGCAGCCAGAGTCGCCAGACGCCGTTGTATTTACCCGTATTATTTTTCCTTATCCATGTTTTTAGCCCCATCATTCCATCCCTTACCTTCTATTCTTCTCCCCCTTTTGCTCCATCCTCTTTAAAGCAACGGCCCCCTCCTCACCTTATCGGCGATGATACAACAGAGTGGTTAAGAGTAGAGAGTCTCTAGAGCCAGAGTGACTGGGTTTGCACTTACGTCATTTATTAGCCTTGGATTCATTCTGTAAAATGAAGATTATATAGTTACCACCACATAGGGTTGTCGTGAGATTTAGACGAGTTAATATACGGAAAGCACTTATATCACTGCCTAACATATATATGTGTCAGCTGTTATTATTATTGGATCCCTCAGTTATGTCCAGAACTCATCTCTGCCCCCTGGCTTTCTATTTATATATATCACCCATCTTGTGCCCAATCCAGGCCTAAGTGCTGTGGAAGCTACAGAAATAGGACATTGTCTAAAGAACATAACAATGATAGGTGGGAAGAAAGGGAATACGGATAAAAAGGGAGGTGATATATAATTAAGTACTAAAAGAGATATTATAATTCACCAGAGCCTGTAGTCACGGGGGTGTGGGAGTCAGGGAAAGCTGCATAAATAAGCTAGAACTTTAGCTGGAACTTAAAGGGAGTCTATGATTTGTTAAATAGAGAAAAACTAGTGAGTGCAGTGTAAGCAAAAGCATGGCTGCAGGAATGATCAGGACGTAACAGACCAGTCTGGCTTTAAAGAATTGTTTAGGAAGCAGTGAAAAATGTATATGTATAAAAGCCTAATATGCTAAGTGTCTGGTCCACAGTTCGACCAGTCGCTGTGACACGCACTGAGCACCAGGGGGCAGATGCTCCAACCGGTAGGTTAGCTTGCTGCTGGGGTCTGGCTTATCAGGACTGGGTGAGACAGGCTGGACTCGCCCTGGAGCCCTCCCGCGGTCCCTCTGCGGCTGCAATGGTGCACGGGTGGGGTCCCTCTGCCTGGCCTGTGCCCTCTCGCAATCCAGGACCCCTCGGGGGATGTCAGAGCCAGTTTTGGCCCAATCCCTGCATGCCAGGCCAGGGACCCCACCAGTGCATGAATCCGTGCACTGGGCCTCTAGTATGATTATGAAAACCTGCTGAGGGTGTGAAACTTACACTGAAATAGGGAGAGCCACTGAAAGTTTCCAAATGAGACAGATGATTGAAATATGATTATTTTAGATTCCATATGCAGAGTGGTCTAGAGTGGAAAGCTTGATTCAGGGAGACCAAATAGAATGCTCTAGCAACATCTAGGAGTAAAGTGAGAAGGCGCTGGACCAGAGCGGTTGTGACAGGAGTAGAAAGAAAATCCTGGGGACACTATAAAGGCAGAACTGACAAGACTTAGTAACTGACTGGAGCTGGGGGGAGGGGGGTGGGATATGTAGAGGAAAGAGAAGAATAAGACCCTGGTAAAATTTCTGCCCTGGATGATGAGAATGATGGTGGTATAACAGGTGGACGTACGTACAGCATTTGGGAAGGAAGGTTTCTGGTTGAGTGGAAACGGTGCAGACAGGTATCTGACTTTTTCTGACCTTCCTGAAAAATCCTACATAATGAAAGGCTAATATGCAAATCAACCAAACTGCAGAAGGACCTATCGCTATGACGCACACTGACCACCAGGGGGCAGACACTCAATGCAGGAGCTGCCCCCTGGTGGTCAGTGCGCTCCCACAGGGGGAATGCCCTGAGCCAGGCTCACAGCTGGTGAGTGCAGCAGCAGTGGTGGGAGCCTCTCCCGCCTCCACGGCAGCACTAAGCCGTCAGTCAGACATCCCCCAAGGGCTCCTGGACTGTGAGAGGGCACAGGCCAGGCTGAGGGGGCACCCCCCACTACCCCCCCCCAATCCCCCCCGCCCCCCGCCTCTAGTGTGTATATAAACGGAATAGGTAAGTTGTTGCTGAGAGAAGAGGACAAATCTAAAGGCAAAGATTCAGTCATCTACAGAGTTAGTGGTTGAAACAGTCTCAGGAATTTAACAGCTTTTATTATTTTATTTTATTATTAAATTATTTTATTTTATTGGATTATTTCCCTTCTTTGTTTTTCAGAGAGTGAGTGGAAGGAAGGGAAGGAGGTTAAATTGGCCCTAGTTACTACATCTTGGCCAAAAGCCAGTAGTATTCCTTTCCCTTTATAATAGTATTTAAATCTTGATCCAGAATCCAATCAAAGATCAGACATCACATGTGTCTTTGTTTCCTATAGTCCAAAACATTTTCCTACGCTTTTTTAAAAAAGTATTTTCTGACACTGGCATTAAAAAAAATATATATATTTTATTGATTTTTTACATAGAGGAAGGGGGAGGGAGAGAGAGTTAGAAACATCCATCAGCTGCCTCCTGCACGCCCCCTACTGGGGATGTGCCCGCAACCAAGGTGCATGCCCTTCACCAGAATTAAACCTGGGACCCTTCAGTCCGAAGGCCGCCGCTCTATCCACTGAGCCAAACCAGTCAGGGCTGACACTGGCATTTTTGATGTGCTTAAGATAGCTGTCTTGTATGTTGTCCCTCAGTCTGGATCTGTCTGTTTGCTTGTGATTAGATTCAAGGTAAACTGTTTTGGGGAGAATACAGTAAAACCTCACTATAACAGACTAATTGCGGTGAGAGGTGCTCATTAAAGCCAAAAAACCTGTTACATAATAAAGGCGGTTTCTGAATGCATATGTTAAAAAATGGACAAATTAGTTAACCTGTTTTTACTTCTGTAGACAGGTTTGTGTAATTAAAATTAAGTATGTATGAAAAGTTTAATTTCACAGAAAAATTTTCTATATATATTATTATAATTTTAAACTTATCCTGAATGGGTATACTGCAGTCACCAGTCACTACGAGTAAACAGATGCACACGCTGGGGCCAGGCTTAGTGCAGGTGGGAACATTGGCTGCCATGTGTTAAAATTGCTGCTGAGCCCTAGCCAGTTAGCTCAGTGGATAG